ATACTTAATTAGAGAAATTTCAAAGTTCAAGGAGGTGTTTGACCACATAATTGTAACTTTGGCCACATAGGGACGTTGAATTATCTTAAGTCAATTTTAGATGGAGGTGATTCTCTTCCTTAATGGTTCGTCTAAATGTATAATGTAATTATAATAAATAGAAAGGGTTGTTTATCTTACAACAATTTTTTAGTCGTACAAAGACACATGTTAATTAAAATAATATATATGAACATGTTGAAGCTTATAAGTTTTGATGATGATGAACTTAAACTAAATCAAACTCAACTAAAGGTTTACAAGTGTTTAAGTACAGGAGAAATGGACCTTGGTGAAGGAAGAACATCTTGTATTATGAAGACTTGAAGAATTTTTAAAGAGTTAATCAATAGAAGAAGAGTTCTCTAACAAGAACTAAATTCCTTAACATGAATGTTCCCTAACAGGAACTTGAAGGTTGTAAGTTGAAGACAGTAAGTTCCACAAGGAACTTAGGCTGCGAAGTTCCAGTTGCGTGAAGCCCAAGATATTCAAAATTACAGAAGCGCGACAGTGAGACATTAATTTAGTTAAGATTTTATCTTCTAGATTTATTGTTAAATATGTTAATAAGATATGCATGAAATCTATTAGAAACGTGACAAGATAATTTGGAAAAAAGATAAAATTAGAAAAATATAAAAAGATAGATTTTGGAAAAAAAGATTTTGTTTTAATTTATTTTCCTAAAATCAGTTGCAAAACGATATTATTCTCTTATATATATCTTCTTGTATTTTTTGGAAAGGATTTTTCTTCAATAAAATGATTTACCAAAAATCGTACTTTGAGATAAGGAAAGTTAACATCTTTATCTTTTGAAAACCTACTTTCTATACAAGTTATACTTGTATAAATAGTAGAGGTAAAACTGCTTTCGATTTTTGTAAGTTTATGCATGAAGAAAATCTTGTGAGCTTCATCAAAGTGTAAGTTTGCCAAGTCTTATCTTGTCATATTAGTTTCGGGTTTTATGCATAGCTTGCCTAACATATTCTAGACATTTTTATTACTGTAATTGACTGGGTAATTGGGTGAGATTGTATGAGATTTTTAATCACATACAGTAGAAAATATTTTGTAATAAAGAGTGCATTGGTACTGTGAGAGTACAGGTGAATTCAAGTCAGGGGACTTGGATTGGGTAGGATTGAGTCTTACCGTGTTACAAGTTCTAGTTGGAACTTGTGTTTAAAGGTCTGGATTATAATAGGTTTGTAATTTCTTCATTACCCTATTATAGTGGATTGTTTGTGTGTTGAAGTCCCTTAGAAGGGTCGAGGTTTTACTTCCAGTTGGGCCCTGGAAGGTTTCCTCGTAAAACTGTGTATGCACTATCAAGTTCCTTTTATATTCTGTTTTTATATTGCAAAAGTAGTCATTAGGAACTTAACTACAATTCACCCCCCTCTTGTAGTGTTAGTTTCAAATAGCAATTGGTATCAGAGCAAGGTTCTCACGTGTAAGCAGAAAATTTTGCTGAGTAAGATCTTGAGGAGAAATGAACTACAAGGAAAAACTTGAAGAAGGATACTCAACCCAACGTCCTCCTATGTTTAACGGTAAGTTTTATACCTACTGGAAGAACAGAATGGAGATTTTCATTAAGGCTGAAAATTACCAAGTTTGGCATGTTATTGAAGCTGGTGACTATGAGGTAAACGCAACAAATGATAAAAATGAGGTAGTTCCTAAACTTATTTGTGATTATGACAAAGAAGACTATCAGAAACTCGAAATGAATGCTTTAGCAATAAAGTATTTACATTGTGGTCTTGGACCTCATGAACATAATTGTATCATAGGGTGCAAGACTGCTAAACAGATTTGGGATCTACTCAAGGTCACTCATGAAGGAACAAACGAGGTAAAACATTCTAAAATTGATTTACTGATGTCTAGATATGAAAGGTTTGAAATGCAGTCTAAAGAAACTATAGAAGAAATGTTTACTAGATTTAACGACATAATTAATGAACTAAAATCCCTTGGTAGGAACATTCCTATTGATGAACAGGCTAGAAAGATTTTGAGAAGTCTTCCACAGTATGAACGTTGGAGATCCAAAGTTACTTCCATGCAGGAAGCTAAGGACTTCACTAAGTTCAATATGGAACAAGTAGCTGGATCACTTATGACTCATGAATTGCATCTGAGTTCCAATAACGAAAGTTCCAAAAACAAGAGTCTTGCTCTAAAGGCTCTAGACTCAGAGGAATCTGAAGTTGATGAAGAGGAGATGGCTATGCTAGTCAAACGATTCAAAAAGATGATGAATAATAGAAGGTTTGACAGAAGCAAGAAGCCCACTGGTTCCAGAGACACTACTTGTTTCAAATGTGGAGAAAAAGATCACTTCATTAAGGATTGTCCACTCAAGGACGGTAAGAACAATCCTAAGGAGCAATCCAAGGAATCTAGAGTGTATAAGCCTTACTTCACCAAAAACAATGTGAAGAAAGCAATGCTAGCCGCCTAGGGAGATACTGATACAGAAGAAGAAGAAGAAGAAGAAGAAGAAGAAGATCAACCTCCTGAAGAAACAACCTATCTGTGCCTAATAGCAAAAACAGATGAAAAGGCTAAGCTGAAGGAACTTGAAGCTGAGGTATGGTTTTCTGAAAGAGATCTAAAACATTTCTCTTAAAAGAATCTAATATATGTTGTCTTGGATATTCAAGAAGAGCTTAAAGAATTGCATAGAGCCAAACAACAAAGTGATAAAGCTTTTATCACTTGCTAAGAAAATAGTGAGTGGGCTGACAACATGAAATTTGACATTCAATATAGATTCTTTAGTCTTTTTGACGACAATCGTGTGCTAAAAGAAACTTTAGAAAACTTAAAGCATGATAACATACTCTTAAATGTTGAACTTTCTTTGTTAAGATCAGGAATAGACTCACCTAATTCTGAAGTTCCATCTCTAACTCAAATCACCAATTTTGAAAAATTGAAATCGAATTTAGAGGAAATCAAAATGGAGAAAGCCAGACTTGAGGGGGAACTTGAGAAGGCTAAGAAAGGTAAGAAACCTGTTGAGTACATAGTTCCTAACTGGATTACTAATGCTCAGACCAAAAGAACAGAACGACTAGGTTTCAAGAAGAAGTTCCAAAAGGAAAAGAAGTATGTTAATTTGCCTAGTAGTATTGTTTGTCATTTCTGTGGAAAAACTGGACATAAGCAGATGAATTGTTTAAAGAGAAAAAATAGTACACAGAAAAATTAAAATTATGTTGAGCAAATTTGGATTATGAAAAATAATCCCACTCCTATTACACAGGAACCCAAGGAAACCTGGGTTCCTGATACTAATGCTTAATTCTTCATGCAGGTTCTAGTGAGGGGGAACAACACTTGGTACCTCGACAGTGGTTGTTCGAAGCACATGACTGGAAACACATCTAGATTTCTCTCACTGGATGCCTACTATGGAGGAACTGTGACGTTTGGTGACAATATGAAAGGAGATATAATTTCCATTGGCAAAGTAGGAAGGTCAAGTTCCCATGCTATTGATAATGTATTTTTGGTCAAGGGTCTCAAACACAACTTGTTGAGCATTTCACAATTTTGTGACAAAGGAAACTCAGTAAGTTTTACTTCAAATAAATGTAGAATCATTCATTATAACACTAGGAACATTATTTTAGAAGGAACTCGTAAAGGGAACACATATGTTGTGGACTTAACGAAGTTCCTAAAAGCAGTCTAACATGTTTCAGTGTTATTGAGAATGATCCTTTATTATGGCATAAAAGATTTGGTCATGCAAGCTTTACACTACTCGATAAACTTAGAGCTAAGGAACTTGTGGAAGGTCTCCCTTGCATCAAGTTCCTATATGACAAAGTGTGTGATGCTTGTGTTAGAGGAAAACAGACTCGAAGTTCCTTCAAATCCAAGAAAATGGTAAGCACCAAAAGACCTTTGGAACTTGTTCATATGGATCTATGTGGTCCTATGAGAATCCAAAGCAGAAGTGGTAAGAGATATGTAATGGTAATTGTTGATGATTTTTCAAGATTTACTTGGGTTTTCTTTCTTGTTAGCAAAGATGAAACATTTGATGAATTTGTAGCCTTTGTAAAGAAAGAACAGAGAAGAACAGGTAACCCACTGATTCACCTCAGGTTAGATCATAGCACAGAATTTGAAAATTCTAAATTTGATGAATTCTGTACTGAGCATGGTATGGATCACAACTTCTCGGCACCAAGAACTCCACAACAAAATGGAGTGGTGGAACACAAGAATAGAAGTCTTGAAGACATGGCTAGAATAATGCTAATCTCAAGTGGTCTGCCAAGAAACTTCTGGGCAGAAGCAGTTAATACAACATGTTATATTCTCAACAGAGTATCTGTTAGAGCCATCACCAACAAAACTCCCTAGGAGCTAATCAAAGGGAGAAAACCTAACATCTCTCACCTCAGATCTTTTGGCTGTAAATGCTTTGTTCATAATAATGGTAAAAGAAACTTAGGAAAGTTTGATGAAAGAAGTGATGAAGCTGTTTTCTTAAGATATGCCTCAAATAGTAAAGCTTATAGGGTTTATAATAAGAGAACAATGTGTGTTGAGGAATCTGTACATATTATATTTGATGAAACTGAACAATTGATTGATGTACATGAAAGTGATGATGACTTTGAAATAGGACTTGTTCGCAAGATGGATCAAGATGAAGAGCCAACATCATTACAAAAGCAGTTGGAAGAAAATGAGGCAAATACAGAAGCAAATGAAGATCCTACATTAGAAAATGCAACAGGAACTCCTCAAGTTCCAGAACAGAACGAAGTTGATCAAGAAGTTCCAGAAGAAGTTCAAACTGAAAATCAAGATGAAGTCCAACAGTTGAACCAGTCACCAACAATGAAGAAAGATTGTATCCAATTAAAGACTTTACTCCAAAGCCTTGAACACATCATTAATCTCATCCAGTTGATGCAATCATGAGTGATATCACAAAAGGAACTCAAACCATATCTCAGCTTAGGAACTTCTGTGCATTTTATGCGTTCCTATCTTCAATGGAACCTAAGAACCATGTTGAAGCTTTGACTGATGCAGACTGGATTAATGTTATGCAAGCCGAAATTAACGAGTTTGAAAGAAACAAAGTATGGCATCTAGAACCTAGACCTAAGAAAAAGAAGACAATTGGATTAAAATGGGTGTTTAGGAACAAGCTAGATGAGCATGGTATTATTGTCAGGAACAAAACTAGTCTTGTAGTACAAGGTTTCAATCAACAAGAAGGTATTGACTATGAAGAAACATTTGCTCCTGTAGCCAGGTTAGAAGCTATACGCCAACTTATTTCATTTGCTGCTTATATGGGATTTAGGTTGTACCAAATGGATGTTAAATGTGCATTTTTGAATGGATATCTTGATGAAGAAGTCTATGTGGAACAGCCTCCTGGATTTGAAAATCCAGAATTCCCAAACCATGTCTACAAGCTTGACAAAGCTCTTTATGGGCTGAAGCAAGCTCCTAGAGCATGGTATGAAAGACTGTCAAAGTTCCTATTGAAAAATGGTTTTAAACATGGAAAAATTGATAAAACATTGTTTTTAAAATCAAATGGAACTGACATATTAGTTGTATAAATTTATGTTGATGATATTTTATTCGGTGCAACTAATGAATCTCTATGTAAGTATTTTGCTAACCTAATGAGTGGAGAATTCGAAATGAGTATGATGGGAGAGTTAAACTTCTTTCTCGGATTGCAAATCAAGAAAACTGAAGAAGGAATCATGATCCATCAACAAAAATATATTAAGGAACTGATCAAGAAATACAAGATGGAAAATGCAAAAACCAATAAGACTCCTATGGGTATTGGAACTAGATTGGATGAAGATCCAACTGGAACTTGCATAGATCAAACTATGTATAGAGATATGATTGGCTCTTTACTCTATTCTAACTTAATATTCCCTTGTTCCACATTGTCTTTTAAAAAGTGATGCCTAATGTGGATATGCTTTACCTTTGAGTGTTGAACTTGATCTTTAGAAATACAAATAGCACTGGTATTGTCACAGTAAATAGGGACAAATTAAAAAATAATACCAAAATCTCTAACCTGTTGTTTTATCCATAGAACTTGTGAGCAACATGCTGTTGCTGCCACATATTCAGCTTCAGCTGTGGACAATGCAACAGTATTTTGCTTCTTGGATCCCCAAGAAACCAGACAAGGTCCTAAGAACTGAACCATACCTGAAGTACTTTTTCTGTTAACCAAGTCACCTGCATAATCAGCATCAGTAAAGCTATTTAATTCAAATGAGTCACTTCTAGGATAGAAGAGACTCAAGTCATCAGTTCCTTTTAAGTAACGAATAATTCTCTTTACTGCTACGAGGTGAGATTCCTTTGGATTTGCTTGAAACCTAGCACATAGACCTACACTAACCAAACCCTTGAACAGAGAAAGATTTGAGAAATTGAGATTGGAACTTGGGATGATCAAAATCTTACTTGATTGCTTCTGAAGTTCCAAGATATGGTTGATTCAAAAATAGTGTAAATAAAGTTTAAAGAGCTTTTGGCGCAACTTTAGTGTGACAAACATAGCTGAAGTGTCACCGTTGTTAATTACTAAAGGTAAGTTCACTAAAACACTTATTTATGTAAGCAATTAATAATATACTGTGCATATGTGTTTAAACCGTGTTCCAATATGTGTATATTTAGAAAGAAATTATGATTTGTGAAATTAAATGAATTTGGAAAGAAAGTGAATTTTGAAAATACATCCTGCCAAATGATTTTACAAATTAATTGAATGTGTTTCAATTAAATGAATGAACAGTAAAACCATTCAATTCCCTTGCACCGCTTCAATAAATATAAAAAGCATCTTTCACCCACCTTTTCACTCCACTGTCAAATCACATTCACCCTCTTCAGTAAAAATCTCAAGATCAAAATCACAATCGAATACCATGGTTATCATCACAGAAATCGTTTCTTCTGAAAATTCCCAAAACACCGAACACACCATTCTAGAAGAAACTTCACCTTTAGCAATGGTCAATTATAAACCTTCTCCAAAATCAATCAAAAGTACCTCTAATTCTCCCAAACCCTCTGAAAACCCGAAACCTTTACCCTCAAACCCTAAGGAAGTTGAGAGCAAGAATGTTGAAGAAGAGTACAGTACTTCAAGTGTACTCGATAAATTGCGTCAATGGAAACAGAAGAGGGAGAAAGAAAAGTCACATGAAAAGGAAATTGAGGAAGTTGATGAGTTCGAAAAGGGGGAAAATCAAGGCGAAGAGGAAAATCAGGAAGAAGAAGAGAATCAGGGAGAAAGTGAAGCGGATGCCTCTGTAGAGGAAGAGGAAGAAGAGGTTGATGAAGATGATGACCAAGTGGAACTTCTTGCAAGAGCGGGAAGGTATGTTACTGGTCACAGACTTGATAGTACATGGTGTAAGAAGGCTAGGTTTTTAGAATTCTTCGATTTAATCAAATTTCAAGGGTGGGAGTATATGTTATCTATTGCTTCTAATAATGTGCTATATCCTGTGGCTATGGATAAATTTTGAGCAAAATTTCAAGTTAAACAAGGGAAGATTTCTAGCTTAGTAAATTAAAAGAAAATTGAGTTTGATGTTGAGAAACTAGGTAAAATTTTGAAAGTACCTACTGCTGGATTTGAATTGTATGTGAAGGGGAAGAATACTGTGAAGGTAGGAAACTATCTAAGTGGAGATATAGTTGAATTTTTGGGAGGAAAAAGGGGGAACAATGTTATGAGTCATAATGATCTTAGCCCTCTTAATAAGTTGTTGTTCAATTTGGTGAGAAAAACCATATTGCCCAGAACTCAGAAGAGAAGCCAAGCATGCTTGATGGATTTGGTTGTCATCTTCTATCTCTCCAAGGAAATCAAAATCAACTTTCCATCCCTAATGTATCAACACCTAGCACACTATATTCCACGAAAGAACAAAGTGGGATATGGTGCATTGTTGTCTACTGTGTTTGAGTTTCTAGGTGTGAAGCTCAAAGGAGTTTATGAGGGATTGGAGGAAAAATCAGAGGATGTGATTAATGGGGAAACACTTCAAGGTATAAACCTTGAAGTAGTAAATGGAAAGGTCAGAAAAAGTGGAGTAAAGAAAACAGTGGGAGGAAAAAAAAAAGGGAAGGAAGTTCCAGAAAAGGCTGTGAGGAAGAGTAGGAGGATCTCAGCTGGTAAGGCTCCTAAAACTAGCTTGGAGAAACCACTTGAGATAGATGAGTATGAGGACAAATTCATTGCAGGACAAGTGGTTGAACTGGTGGACAGAGCTGACATTGCAGAAAAGCAGTTGAAGACAGCCACAGAGCAAATACAAGATCTTGAGAAGAAGGTTCAAGGTCTTGAGAGTAGTCTCAAACTACAAAAGTTGGAGTTCTAGAAGGACCTTAAGAGTCTTCAAGATAAGCAAGAGAAGTATATGCAGCAGAACGTTGAAGACAACAAGAAGATCCTTAAACTCCTTGAAACTTAAACAAGACCAGCCTCATCCATCCTATTTTGTCTAGCCTATCTCTAGCCTCACTTTTGCTTCTCTATGTTTTATTAATTCAGTCGTGAACTTGTTACATTTCAATTTTTGTTTTAGAAATGTAATCTTTTAATATTGTAATATTTTGGAAAACTAAGCAGGAAGTTTCTTTTGACTTTAATGAAACATTTTGGAACTTGGTGCAACCATGTGTGTGTTATATTGTGAAAGCTTATGTAGAAAAGTTGAACTTATTGGAAGTAAGTTAGCAGCGCTGCCTTCAGTTTCCCACACTCGATAAATTACTTGTGGGGCTGTTGTCAGAAGCTTAATATTCTTGAAAAAGCAGGCCTTTTTGATGATGCCAAAAGGGGGAAAAGAGGAAGCAAACTTTAAGGTTTCAGTCGTTCTAGGTTCCAGTTGAGAAAGTATCAAAACTTCTTTGTTTTGGTAGCTTAGTTATTTCATGTTCTGTTTTTCTTTGTTTTCTTTGTTTTATTTTTTTTATTTTTGTTTCTTTTTTTTGTGTGTCTACTTTCTGTCAAAAAATCAAAAATACAAAAATACGTCCTTCTATGTGTTTTAACTTTTGTTAAGAGTTTCCTTAAGTTTGTCATCATCAAAAAGGGGGAAATTATTGAAGCTTATAAGTTTTGATGATGATGAACTTAAACTAAAGCAAACTCAACTAAAGGTTTACAAGTGTTTAAGTATAGGAGAAATGGACCTTGGAAAAGGAAGAACATCTTGTATTATGAAGACTTGAAGAATCTTTAAATAGTTTATCAATAGAAGAAGAGTTCTCTAACAAGAACTAAATTCCTTAACAGGAATGTTCCCTAACAGGAACTTGAAGGTTGTAAGCTGAAGACAGTAAGTTCCACAAGGAACTTAGGCTGCGAAGTTCCAGTTGTGAACTTGAGACCAAGTGACAGCAGGAACTTGTTCCCGGCCTGCGTGAAGCCCAAGATATTCAGAATTACAGAAGCGCGGCATTGAGATATTAATTTAGTTAAGATTTTATCTTCTAGATTTATTGTTAAATATATTAATAAGATATGCATGAAATCTATTAGAGACGTGACAAGATAATTTGGAAAAAAGATAAAATTGGAAAAATATAAAAAGATAGATTTAGGAAAAAATATTTTGTTTTAATTTATTTTCCTAAAATCAGTTGCATAACGATATTATTCTCTTATATATATCTTCTTGTATTTTTCGGAAAGGATTTTTCTTCAATAAAATGATTTACCAAAAATCATATTTTGAGATAAGGAAAGTTAACATTTTTATCTTTTGAAAACCTACTTTCTATACAAGTTATACTTGTATAAATAGTAGAGGTAAAACTGCTTTCGATTTTTGTAAGTTTATGCGTGAAGAAAATCTTGTGAGCTTTATCAAAGTGTAAGTTTGTCAAGCTTTATCTTGTCATATTAGTTTCGGGTTTTATTCATACCTTGCCTAACATATTCTAGACATTTTATTTACTGTAATTGATTAAGTAATTGGGTGAGTTTGCATGAGATTTTTAATCACATACAGTAGAAATTATTTTGTAATAAAGAGTGCATTGGTACTATGAGAGTACTGGTGAATTCAAGTCAGGGGACTTGGATTGGGTAGGATTGAGTCCTACTGTGTTACAAGTTCTAGTTGGAACTTGTGTTTAAAGGTCTGGATTATAATAGGTTTGTAATTTCTTCATTGCCCTATTATAGTGGATTGTTTGTGTGTTGAAATCCCTTAGAAGGGTCGAGGTTTTACTTCCAGTTGGGCCCTGGAAGGTTTCCTCGTAAAACTGTGTGTGCACTATCAAGTTCCTTTTATATTCTGTTTTAAATTTGCAAAAGTAGTCATTAGGAACTTAACTACAATTCCCCCCCCCCCTCTTGTAGTGTTCGTTTCAACTAACAATAATATATATGAACATGTATAAAGTTCATATTGTGTAAATAATATGAAAAGGAGGTATTATAACTATAGATCACCGTGTATGTCACGGAATTTAACCAAGTTAAGAAAACATATTTGTGGTTTTAAAAATGGCTAGTTACATTCGTGTAAATTGGTGAGCCATATCATGTTGCACGTATTGCAACTAGAATTACATTTAACATACATTTTCCTTAAGACTAGATATGTATACTTGTGTAATGAAAAGGAAATTTTATATAGAACTAACTTAAAGATTAGTTGTTTTGTGAATAATTATCCGTTTTTTTAAAAAAAAAAAATATTTTGAACTACATATAAGATGACAAAAATTTGTCTAGCACATTATCCATAGACTATTTTCGTCCAATTGAGCCGTTTGTGGGGCCCACTCCTATGGTTTTTCACTCATTTGTCTCTTCCTTCATTAACTTTATTATGTTCAACAATTTATAATTTAAAGGCCACAAATTTCATAATTTTTCTTAAAAGAAGGATGGATTTAGAGATTTGCTTAGGTCAAATTAAGATGGTGAAAGGTGGAGTTCAAAGATGAGGAGTGAAAATGGAGGGAAAGTAAATGAAGGCAGAGAGAGGTAGTTGAAGAGGGGAGCTAATTGGACGAAAACCCGTAGGAGTGAGCCCACAAACGACTCAATTGGACAAAAACCGTTTATGGGTAGTACTAGAAAATGTTTGTCATCTTATGGATAGTTCTATATAAATAAAATAAAATAAAAAACATATTTTAAATAAATAAATAACGGATAGTTGTTTACAAAATAGTCCATCTTTAGAGTAGTTTTATATAAAAATTTTAAAATATAAATGTATAAGAAAAAAGTTGTAATGAAATTGCTTCTAAAGTTCCAAGTACATAACATACATTAGAAGCTTTCCAAGTTCAAAATTTATAAAGTTGCAAACATTATAAATGGAACAAAATAAGCTTATTCAACTAAGGGAATATCATAATGTAACACAAACAAATTGTACTCAGATATAGCAGCTCCGGTTTTAACATCATACTGGTATGTCTTAGCCAAAGCATAACCTCGAGCAAGCCGGAAAACACCGGTGCCTCCAACAATAGGCATTTCTCTTACGGTTTCAACCACACGATACCGGCCCAAGATACTAATACTACTCCCATTATACTTCCCTTGAGTGAAAGACAAAGTTATGGTCATCAACAATGAGCCTGACTTACCCTGAGAGGACTCACCATACAACCCTTGAGCTCTACCAACGAGTTTCGAGCTTAACTCGGGCCCTTCGGTTAAAGGATCATCGATCATGACTAGGGTGCCGAAGCCAATAGTTGTTTGGTTTGCTGGTCTTGCTATTATAACTGCTGTAGGGTTGTTTCCATTTGGTATGTCATGGAAGTAAAAGTGAAGTTTGGTTAATTTTTGTGTATTTTTGGCTAAGTTAATGTTGAAGGATTTTTCAGATAAATGAGCTTGTGTAATAATGAAGAATGTAAGGGAGAAAATTAGTAGAAGTATGGAGAGTTTACAAGCCATAAAGTTGAAATTTTTGTGTAATTAGATAACTAATTTTATGAGTTCAACTTGTATTTATGTGTTGCTCTCTTTTCTTGCTCCTTTTGCTAGTGTTGTTTATTGGATGCTTTTATTGGTTGTTGAAAAGTCAATTTATACTAACCCACTCGACCACGCATGAATTGGGAATATTGTCCCACCAAAAAGAACTCGAGCGAGAATGATTAAACTATAAATCATACTACCTCCCTTACATATTAGTTGTAATTTTAGAATATTTTGTGTCTCATAAATAATACCCTAAAGTTACAACTAATATATTACGGAGGTAGTAAAAAGAATTAGAGGGAGGATGATTAAACTATAAATCATTAGTTACTCTACATACTATCGTAGAACACTAAAATAAAAGTATTTGCTTTAAAAAAGAGTATGCATCAATCTGGTTTAAGATAGTGATCGGGTTAAGCCTTTGAAAATAAGGAAAATAATGAATTCCTGCACACCTCAGTAACTCTAGCAAGAATTAAAAGATTATGTCAATAGTTACAATTTTTTATTAATGAGAAAGACTCAAAGATCCAATAATAAGATTAGATCTTCAAATTCTTATTCTTTGTTTTATTTTTGTTTTTTATTTGGTTACAATAATTTTCCTCTAAGTCAAATTAAAATACCATATACTTCCTCCGTTTCTTTAGTTGATACATTTCTTTAATTACGTTTGTCAATGCACTTATTCAATCATTAATATCTTTAATTATCGATAAACAAAAATTATGAAAAGTTGATATTTTGAAAGTATATTACGTGACGAATCTAACAAAATCCCACATGACTATATTTTTCATTACGTCTAAAGCACAAAACACGGTCAAAGGGAGGTGTGTGAATAGTACAAAAGTCAAAACGTGTCAACTAAATAAAAAATGGAGGTAGTATATAATAAGAAAACAAAAAAAATTAAAGGTCATCAGACTAATTTACTCCCTCCGTAACGTTTTACTCGCAACAAACTAGTAGTTTGCGGACTCCTAGCAAAAGATGGTAAGTGTAATTAACAAAAAATAAGGGCATGTGTTTAATATTAATCCAACCCAAATTAAAAAAAAATAAAAAAAAAAAACAATTACAACCACCTATCACCAACACCACCACCGCCTTGCACCATACCACCACCACCTAGCACCATGCCACCACCACCACCTAGCACCACCCCCGATTTCGCCCACCTACAACCCCGAAACCCAAAATGTAACCCACGAACCCAGAACCACCATCCACAACCCCAAAACCACCACCTACAACCCCGAAAATTCAAACCACCAACCCACGAACCTAGAAAATTCAAACCACCAACCAAATCAACCCACGAAGCAAGAAAATTCAAACCACCAACCCGCTAACCCAGAAAATTTGAACCACCAACCAAACAACCAAAGAACCCAGAACCACCACCCACAACCCCGAAACCCACAACCCACGAACCCAAATCCACCACCCACAAGTCCACAACCTTGAAACCCACAACCCACAACCCCCAATCCCAAAATCCACAACCCACGAACTCGAACCCAAACCCATAACCCCAAAATCCGAAACCCACAACTCTCTATCATCAATTAAAGCTTTAATTGGTCAAATTTAACCATCAAAACTCCAGATCTAGAGTATTCATGGTTAAATTTAACCATAAAACCTTCAAATACGTGTTTCACCTCATTCACAAAACAACAAGAAGAGGAAGAGAGAGAAAACGGAGGCGACCGCAACAAAAGGGACATCAGCAGCAACTTCCAGCGACGGTGGTGTACTGAGGTGAATTTTTGGATGATGAACAAAGAATGGAGATTGGTGGTGGACTAGTGGTGGTTCCCAATCAAGATGAGAAAGAACTTTTTTTATACAAAAGATGAGAATGAATTTAGATGGGAGAGTAATGATTTTGGGGAAATAATTAAGTTAGTTAATGTAAGGGTTTAAATTATTAAGTTATAATCAGTAGTTTAATTAGGGTACTTAGGAAAAAAAGTAAGGGTAATATTGTAAAATCATATAAAAAAAATTTACCATAAAAGAAAAAAAATAAATTTATTGCAAGTAATGTGTTACGGCTAAAAATAGTAATTGTTGCGAGTAAAAAGTTACGGAGGGAGTATATAGACTTTTGCTAAAATGAATTGATTCCATTTTATTAGCCAAACAACTATTAGTGGATAAATCACCAAAGACTCAAAGAGCAATATATAATTAAATAATATACACTTCACCTACTACCATGTCTACCAATTGACATTTTGAAAAGCATCACCGTAATAATAGTTGAAGATTTGTGATCCAATAATTAATACGTATTGTGTGCATTATAAGTGAAGGCATGTATATGGATTACATTACACATTCTGTCAAAAAGAAACAAAATTTTAGAGCACTATCTAAGTACTCAAGTGTGTAAGCTTTGGTTATGGTTAAAATTTGTGTGAATTATTAGTTTTTGAAAATTTTACAAACAACCACCTTTTAAATTTTTTTTTATTTTTTTTTTTTTATTTTTTTTTTTTATGCATATAACTAATTTATTAAAAAAAATATTGTAAAATACCACCAATTTTGAAAATATTGTTACAAATTATCATTTTTTTAGCCAAATTTACCAATTGTTTTACATTGAACTAGTGGTAAGTTGCAATAAAATTTTTAAAATTGATAGTCTTTACAACTTTTTTTTAAAAGGTGATTAAAAAATAAAAAAAATAAAATAAAATAAAAAAAAGGTGAGTTTTTGTAATATTTCCTTAATTTTTTTATCTTCTTAAATATTGAAAGAAACTTTTTCGAATCTTCTAGCTAGCATAGACTTGTCACTTGTGTATGATCCAATATAATTAAGAATTATCATGATATCACAGCGTAGCTTAGGATTCTGACTTATTATTAGCATCCAACTAAGAAAGGCCAAATAATTTGAAAAACGAGAAGAGCACCTTTAATGGGGTCAATTTCGGAAATTTCGGGGCTTTCGTATTAGGGTTGATGATGGAGATGGGAATTGGCCTGGGAAGAGTGTGAATATCGAGGGAGAGGTCACCAGAGAAAAGGGAGGAGAGAGAGAGTGGAGAGGAGAGGAGTGGAAAATTGAGAAGAGAGAAAGGGAAATAAGGAGAACTAAAGAATGAAGATGATGGACTCACCGTGAGTCCGTTCTACCCAGAAGTTTATCAAATTCTATTTGTTCCTATTAGAGGCTCGTTGATCACAATGTGGAACTTGGAAGTCGTTATTGGGTCAAGCGAGTGTGTGACCAATATGAAAATGATAAATATTGTGTTTTAATTTGTTGTAGATAGAATCACAAATTTAGGACAAATGATGTCAATGAGAGTTGTTCTTTAATGATTAATTACTAGTTCTATACTTTTTGTTTTTCTAATAACTTTATTTTAAACTCCCTTAACATACAGTCTTACTCGATATGGCCTTTTCTAAACACTTTATTGTACGGACTATGGAGTATATTTTATTCAACTTTTCTTTACATTTAACCATCTTCTATTCTTCTAGCAATTACTCCCTGGCCTCTTATGCAACCTTACACGATTACAATCACCCACATTTACCTTTGTTTAACTTTTTCTTATAGTCATTCGTCTAATACATACTCCCACATCCCTCTCTTTTAGAATGAAGGTCACACTTTGATTGTTATATTTTTGGCATAATTTTAAAGAATTGTTTTTTAATTAAAATTATGTATAATTTAAAAAAAAAAGTTAGAATTTAGAAATCATACGTTGAGACGATTGTATCAAATACCAATATGACTATATTTAATCATATGTATAAAGAAATAACGGTGGTCAAAGTGATGCATTTGAATAGTGTGAAAGTGTCATTTATTTTGAAACAGAGATAATAGTAATCTATTATACATACTTAGTAAGTGATTGGAACAATTATTAAATAAATATTAAAACAACACATAAAATCAAACAAAATTGTATACAAGTATTATTAATCCATGCGTAAATAACAGGAAATAAACAGTAAGAAAAATTCTCATCCTTTTTTTAGACGCATTAGGAATTGTGGGAATTCTCCTTGTGAGGAGGGCTTCCTAATGTTTTCATTTTTCTTATCATTGTATATAAAAAAATTTATAAAGAAATTCTATAAAATAAAGAAATTACATTATTAACCGAGTCATTTAATAAATTATTAAATGTTATACTTGTAGTAAATTCAAGAGGATTATTATCTAATAGTGGTAGACATAAACATGATACTCCACAATAGCATCTCCTTGTGTGTTGGACCAAACAGTATGGGCCAAAGCATATCCACGAGCAAACCGAAAAAGCCCAGTTCCACCAACAATAGGCATCTCCCTAACTTTTTGCATTGGAGGATTTCTTCCAATTATACTTATACTACTCCCATTGTATTTTCCCTTAGTAAACACATAATTTATAGCCATTAACAATGCAACATTTTCTTGAGATGCAAACCCATACACCCCTTGGGCTCGCCCTATGATCTCCGATCTACGATCCGCCCTAACGGTTAATGGATCATCTGCCATGAACACATTCCCAAAATTTGTACCATAACGGCGGTTTGGGCTAGCTATTTGGACCGCGGTTGGGCGTTTGCCACTTTCAATGTCTTGAAAAAAGAAGTGTAGGTGAGTCATTTTTTCGGCTCGGGTTTGGGATATGGATATTGGGTGGTGTTGATCCGAGAAATTTTGCCCATTAGTTAATTTGGTGTAATAAAATAAGACTAGTAAGAGCAAGAAAGTGTTAGTTTTTGGAAAATATGATGCCATATTCTTTTATTGTGTGACTTTGCCAATGTTGGTTGTGATCATATACATGTAACTCTCCAAGAGTATAAATAGTAGATGATTTAGGTTGATAATTAATAATGAGATATAAGTTATGCTTTTACACATGGAACTAACTACTAGTTCTATTTTTAAAGTGAAAAGTCATATAATTTGTTAGTGGAACCATTGCATGATGTTGTGTACTATTGTGGTTGAGATCAATTATGGATTTGTACCAATAACTTTACTCTTCATCAAGCAAGTTATACAAGTGAGCCAGCGGAGAGTAGACAAGGAGTGTCGATTTGCTTATCAATGTTCGTTATTATTATTATGAATTGTTGGACCAAAGTAGATTCAATAGTGGTGTTATTATTACTTCGTATCATTTTGATAGCTACCACTTCCATCCTGAAAATTTCTTATACAACAGTTATATATGCCACGTTGTTAAATACGGGTCTGGGCTGTACCCACAATTCAAGAGTGCGAGTCCATTTTACAAGTTCAAAGGAGGTTTCATCCCAAAACTATATGGCAATAGGAGGAGTAGCCCCTTAGCCTTATAAAGTAATTAACTCTCTCTTCTTCAACCAATGTGAGACACTTATATGTAATGATACTTGGGAGGTCTATTCTTCAAACACTCTCCCTCACATGTAAGGTCCCTTTTTATCTTTGTCTCATGTGATTTTTTGGGCTAGAGTGTTTCTTCACTCCCCCTCACAAGGACCAACTCTTGGCCTAGTGAACTTTAGCCATTTAAGGTCCCATATCGTGGGCCCGACTCTGATACCATGTTAAAGGACCAACTTAACCAAAAGCTTAAGCTGATGGTTGAGGCCCAGAAATATGTTTTTTATACTCTATCACATACACGTAACTATGCAATCCTCTCATAGGTCATAATAAGCGTGGTGGTTGTCTAGTTGATGGGAAAAAAGTATGAGAGAATTGGAGGAAGAGTGGAATCAAGGAAAGTGGAAAATAATCATATAATTTGGAAGCTTCTGTTGGCCTCGTGTAGGTATGACAAATAATCATTAATAGTTATTGTTGAAGAAGATGTTGATGAAAATGATGTAGATGCTTTGTGTTTATTTTCATAACTTTGTCAAGAAGAGCACCAAATCTAGAATCATAACTACTAGATGGTGTAGCTGAATTAGAGCTATAAATAGATGCATAATGATCATAAAGACCTCCAAAACAGATTTGGATTAACTAATATATTGACTAACATCAAAATCGATACTTAAACAATAATATTAAAATTCTATAAGATTTTCCAAACCTTCAGCTTTGATACTGAATAGTAGCGATTTCATAAATTATTGGAAATCCACTAAAAATAAGTGAGTCACTTACGTTTCATGCTATCAAGAACGGACGAAAGTTGAAATGTTGGCTGTGATGGAGGTGGCATAGCTGAATTCGATGATTGGTTGAAGAAGGTTATGGTGGAGCTGGAGTCCGAAGACATTTTAATATTTTGCCCATCTCCCTAAGTCGTAATCTATCTGATCGATCCCCATATTCATTGATAAATTGGTTTAAATTTTTCATATTAATTTCATACGAAAAATTTATGTCATCAGTCTTTTTTTTCTTTTTTTTTTTTTTTAAAAAAAACTAGTCGTTTACTCGTTTAGCACTGCATGCATGCATGTGAAGTGAAACTAGAGCTATGAATGTAACTATTAGATAGAGTAGGTCGTGCATAGGTCTGGCAAAAGATGACACGATCCAAAAACCCGACTCGAACCTGACCTGAAAATAACGGGTTTAGATTGAGGTTTTTAACCCGAAAACTTAAATGGGTTGACACGAACCCGACCTGATAATTATATGGGTTAGATTAAGGTTTAAAATTTCAACCCAAAAATGACCCATGTAACCCAAAAAAAATCATAGGTCAAAATCAAGTGTAAAACTAATCCAACTTGGCAACAAATTCAACCCAAAATAAACTCTCAACGAACCCTAATTATATATAACCTTTCCTTTTTCCGGTGTTCTCACTTTCTCAAACTTCAAATGTTGTGGCTGCCTCAAATCCCATCTCTTTTTTATATTTCATCTCTTTACTGTTTGCTCCTTACTCCACAAAAAACACCGACCATCACAAACTTACCTCCACTTCTGTCTACTTGGTGAAAAGTCAATCAATTCCAAGTCTCAACCTGGTCGTCGTCTATCAATCTAAGGGTCTGTTCCCATTGACTGAAATGAGCTGAATTGAATTGAACTAAACTGAACTTATTAAAGCTGAACTGAACTGAACTTATTAGAGCTGAGCAGAACTAAACTGAACTGAAATGAATATTTTATAAGAGAATGAAATTGGGAGCTGAACTAAACTAAACTAAACTTATTAGAGTTGAACTGAACTTAACTGAACTGAAAATAATCGTATGAGAACAAACCCTAACACAATATTAATTCTTTTATTTTTTTTCTTTTATTAATTGGTTGTGTGTTGTTATTTGCCAATGATTCTTGAATCAATGATTATATATAAACATCGCTAACTTCATACTCTAATTAATATGTTTAGGTTGACCCACTTTACACCCAAAGCAACAAAATAAATTGGGTTACACAAATCATTTAAAAAAAAGTTAAATGGGTCATTTCAAGTTGACCCGAAAATAAACTAATCAGATCAGGTCGGGTCATACTTTTCAATCCGAAAAACTAAATGGATTAGGTTAGGGTTGGGAATTTTTGACCCGAAACCGAAATGACCCGAACACGAAAGTGACCTGAACTGATCTATTTGCCAGCCCTAGCTGTACGTGGGTTCACTAGGTTGTGTAGGTTGGGTGGGTCAGGCGTTTAGGGTGGGTTGTGTCGTGAGCCGCGCGTGTTGGGCATGCAGGGTGGGCTAAGTTGTGCGAGCTGGGTCAAGTTGGGTGGGTCAAAATGGGTTATGCTGGTTGAGCTGAATCAAACGAATCAAAATGGGCTGGATCGAACTCGGGCTATGCTCGGTTAGTACCAGGTCGAAAACGATTGTGTTATACTCTCCCATCTTTTTTAACACATTCTCTCTCTCTCTCTCTCTCTCTCTCTCACACGTTTTTACACTTTTTCGTCATTTAATACTCTCTCTTATTTTGTAATATCGTAACACTTTGACTTTTGCACTACTCATATACTTACTTTGACTATAATTTTGATCAATATATCAAAATCATATGTAGTCATGTAAAATATTTTTGTATTAGTCTTTATCTACATTTTCATTAGATCAAGCTTCTATACATCTCAATAATATATAATTACAATTATTAATGGTCAAAGTTGTGCATTGGCATATGTGCCGATCAAAGTGTTGCAGTTATATATTATGAAACGGAGGAAGAAGTAAAATTTATCTTACACTAATCTTCTTCATTAACATAAATTATCTATATTAATTGGTAATTCATTTAAATTATAAAAAACAAAAGATAAAAAAGTAAATACTAGGTTAGAACTTGTGTGATGCACGACTTATATAAAATCTATTTTTATCATTTTTTAAATTTCTTTTAAAAAAATAGATAAATATAAATAAGAATTATGCGCCTTGTACAAAAATATCCTTACTTTTCAAATTTTAGATTTTCATCAAAATTATGATATAATACCTGCATCGCCTAATACATATTTCAATGTAGGAGTCTTTTTATTAGTGTGCTACTTGAAAGTATTTCATTTTTTTTAAGGATAAATTGATTGGTTGTAGTCATACTTGCATTTAAGTGGAAAATCTTTTTGAGAGCGAATGCAATGTGAACAGTCATGATATCAGCAACATTTATTTAGTAATAGTTACTCCATCCGTCCCCGATTGATAGTCACTTATGTCATTTTTGGGCACCCAAAATGTTAGTCACATTTGCTTTTTTCAAGTACCATTAATATTATTTTTTTACCAAAATTCTCTAACATTTGCAAAAATATTTGTGCAAATTTAACTTTCCAATATAATTTTACTTTCCCATGTACTTTAATTACTTTCTCTCTCTACATTTTTGCATATCCAATGTAAATTTACTTTTTCAATGTGCTTTCTTTAATTCTCCTTAATTCCCGTGATTTTTCTTCAAAAGTTACTATCAATCGGGGACGGAGGGAGTAATAGATTACATTACCACAAAGGGTACAAACAAGCCACTACGTATTATTAAACAAAGTTGTATTATCTTAATGTTGCATTATTAATGCTTTGCATAAATATTGATTAAAAGAATTGCGAAATCAATAAAAAAAAATTAAAATTTAAAAAATAAAAAAAATATTACTTTGATGATGCACTTAAAAAACGAAGGAAATACTATATTACACTAATGGATTATCTAATAGTGATGCACATAAACATGGTACTCTACACTAGCATCTCCTTGTGGGTTGGACCAAACAGTATGGGCCAAAGCATATCCACGAGCAAACCGAAAAAGCCCAGTTCCACCAACAATAGGCATCTCCCTAACTTTTTGCATTGGAGGATTTCTACCAATTATAGTTATACTACTCCCATTGTATTTTCCCTTAGTAAACACATAATTTATAGCCATTAGCAATGCAACATTTTCTTGAGATGCAAACCCATACACCCCTTGGGCTCGCCCTATGATCTTTGACCTTCGATCCGCCCTAACGGTTAATGGATCATCTGCCATGAACATATCCCCAAAATTTGAACCATAACGGTGGTTTGGGCTAGCTATTTGGACCGCGGTTGGGCGTTTGCCACTTACTATATCTTGGAAGAAGAAATGTAGGTGGCTCATTTTTTCGACTCCGGTTCGGGATATAGTGTAGGTGGCTCAATTGTAATGGTGTGAACCATGATGTAGTGTACCATTGTAGTTGGGTCCAATTATGGGTTTGTTTCAATAACTTTACTCTTCATCAAGCATGTTGTAAAAGTGAGCTAGTGGAGAGGATACAGGGTTTGTCGAATAATTTAAGGGCTTATCAATGATTTATTAATAATTGTTGGAACAAAATAGAATTATATATTCACCAACACAAAGTATTAGCTTAGGTGACTCAGGTTCACTATGAGTCCACTCACCCAACATCAAATTTTAAAAACTAATAGTTTAATAATCTATACGTATGAATTTTATTTCAAAACACACATGAAATGTCTTCCATCTAAATTTTAAAGCTAGTTAATACTTTTTTAATTTAAAAAAAAATATAAAACGTTTAATAACTTATACTACGTATTAGTCTTATTGTGAGCGAGCCCAAACTCATGCATACTTTCTCATTAGCCAATGTGATTAGCCAATGTGATGCTTATACAATTGTTGAATATAGACAAGTTAAATAAGAGATAAAATTATGATTACTGCTAGACTATAAGAGCATCTCCAATGACAAGGTACAATGCTTTGATTGATTGATTATGGGTTCAATTAATCACAAGAATAAATAATTAAACACTCAACACTATAAATGGTCGTTTAATTCACATAAGAAATAAAAGTGTCCTTGAGGTTTAGTAGCTTATGTTAAAGAACCAACTAAACTAAAAGTTTAACCTAATGGTTAAGGTCGAATATGTTTAATAATCTATCAGTTTCGTTACTCAATCAGATAGCTCACATACTTAATGCATGTTAGAAAGTCAATCAAATGTTTTTCTTTTCTTTTGTTCCGAGTAGTCGAGTACATATTCTATAAGAAAGGCACCCTTAATTCCTTTCATTGCTTTTCATTTTTTGTAATACACACATATGAAATAGCGTATGGAGAAATGCAATGACATACTCGAAATAAATTAAGAAAAATTGACATTTACTACCACCAAAAGCACCTCGTATTAGATTTACTACCCATTTAAAAAAATATTTTATTTTGCTACCACACAAATCCCTAAAATATATATTTCACTACCAAAGACTAAGACCGTTACTGTTTCCGTTACTTGGGTTTAGCCACCGTTCAACCACCTTGCGGCCACCCCTCCACTTCACTGCCACCCCCTCCCCCTACCGACGCCGGCGCAACCCCACCCCCTTCCCCCAGCCGGCGCGACCCCACCCCCTCCCTTCCCCCACCTGCACAACCAACCCCCTCCCTTTTCCCGTACTTGCTGCCCCGACCCCTCCATTCACACCGTCACCCACAACGCCGAAACACCACAACTCCGATCCCCTGCTCTCTCCAACATTACCAAGCTCAGCCAACACTTCAACCCCCACCGCAACACTGCAGCGAGCACCACCGCAAGAAGCTTCGCTCCACCAGCAGCCCCGCACGATCATCAATTGAAGCTGAATACACGTCGCTGCTATTGATACAAGATGAATGCCCCCATTGATGCAAGATAATGCTTGGACTCCATTTCCGTCAACCGTAAACCACCATCGCCGCACAAAAATTTCCCCCCTTTTCAAAACCCTAATTGCTTCAATTGTGATTTAATTTCAATTAAAATCTTCTATCAAATCACTTCAATGGCTTTTCGATCCATTTTCGACGCTTTAATGCTAGGAACCGAAGTCGAAAACGCCGGAATTAATGGAAGTAATTCAATTTGGGGTGGGGGTTGGGCAGCGAGAACGGGGAAAGGGAAGGAGGGGTTCGTTGGCTGCGTAGGGGTGGGGGAGAGGGAGGGGAGTGGGTTCGCACCGGCTGCCGGTCGACGGCAGGGGGGGAAGGGGTGGCAGTTGAGGGGGAGCGGTGGCTGGGTTAATTTTTTTAAAAAAAAAATCTTTTTTTTTTTTTGAATAAACTAACGGAACCTTAACGGATTCCGTTAAGTGGTAGTGAAATTTTAATTATGTGATTTTGGGTGGTAGTAATATAAAATATTTTTTTAAATGGGTAGTAAATCTGATACATGGTGCTTTGGCTGGTAGTAAATGTCAATTTTTCCAATAAATTATGTCTTTGCTTCGAAGATTAGACTGTTGGCAACACAAAATTTATTTGCAAGAATATTACTTCACTAATTTTACACTTACATTAATAATAGTTTTATTCTGTTTACTACAGAGTATTCTCGATTATGATATGTTAGAAATTCTCCTTGTGATGAGAGTTCTCTAAAAATTCTTTATCTTACCTTAAAAATTATATTCTTAGGGCCACTGTAAATAAATTAATGAATTTGAATTAAAAAATGGGTCCCACAAGTGTCGGTGAAATTACGAAAATGTTATGATGACTGGACAAATTTGATGATTTCTTTGTAATTTGAATTAAAAATATTATAATTGTTTAGTTTAAGATCTTAGGAGAAAAAAAAATAGAGAAAAAAATTATGATGTCAAAAATAGCTTTGGCGGGTAAAATTTTCATAAGAAATGGGCAAGTGTCCTCTAATGATGTCAGTATGTTTTGTTTTAGTAATAGTTAATAGATATGCTAGGCGAAAGCCCATTATGCTAAATACTCATTGTAAATCAATTATTGTTAATATATGGATGATTAATATATGTTTAGTTAATAGTCTGATAAAAATTCTGGTCAGGCTAAGCCTTATCATGAAATTCATACCCATCCACAAAAAGTGTGGGTTGTCAGGCCGAAGCAAGCATTTTGAATTTTTCTAGGCTGGATTTGGGTTTTTCACTAAAAATAATGTGTATCTAAACCGATTTAAACCATAATTTTTTCAAATCAGACCAAATCAGTATAATTGGCCAAGCCATTAAGAGGACAGTCTTGTCAAATCACACTCATGTATGTTGTTTGGGGATAAAGCCATGTGTACTCTAACATTCTAGTGTTTTAAATTGGATTATCTTATATTTTCATGATATTCGACTAAGAATCCAATAAATAACTGTATCATTGAATAGTTTTTACAAATCTAATAAGAACTTACATTAACTAAAACGGGAATTGCAATGACATACTCCCATAAATTTTTTATTACAACATCATACATACAACAATTAACCAATTGCTAAAATTTACATGATAAGAGTTGTATACAAAAGTTGATTCCAAGTATCAGGAAGACCAGCTACACACCAATGAGTACAATCCATACCCTTAAAACCATTATAAGAACTCGGGTGCCCGTCTTTCCTTAGTTGTGAGAGGGTTGTGATATCAAGTAGATAAACGGGTTTTGATATCGTACTTATAACTTGTTTAGCCACCTCTAATGCTGGTGGTAATGCACCTGGGTATGTTGATCCTTTCATAGGCATTGTTTCCTTTGAACAATCCATCACCCCTGTTGCATTCCATTCTTGTCCACTGATTTCAAGAAAATTGCATAATCAAATCATCAAGAACATAGAAATTGACTTGATTTTCATATTATCATCATTTGTTACTACAATGATTGAGTTTGGGCCAAATTCATCAATAAGAAGAATTGTTAAACTATTTGTAAGTCCAACAAGGCTTCATCCTTAAATCAATTAATACGAGTAATTCTATTTTAATGTGGATTTCCCTACTCTCTAGGTTTGTTGCCTAATTGATTTTTTTACTCCGTAAGTAGTTAAACTTATCTAAATTTAATAGACTTATTTAAGTTGTAAATTAAGCATGAATATCTCTTTATTTTTTATTTTTTTTCTAGAATTAGTTTTATTTTGATTTAACTAAGTCACATAAATTGGAACCAACTATTTTTCCTGAAATAGGTAAAAATAAGTTTATTAAAATAGAATCTAATATCAGATCAACAATCTACTTAGAGTTTTACATATTTATCATCCTATTCCTATTCCTATAAATGATCAAGTAGAGTGTTGCAACACGCAAACTATGATAAAGGATGTGTTATTATAATTGTCATATTCTTTTATTTATGATGCATATGAATAATGTGACTTATTGCCTTATATTCTTTTAATTATAAAGCATAGAATAAAGTGGCGGTCGTTTTGAAGGCCAAACTTACTTGTAATGTGAAGGATTGGTTCCTTGGAAGAAAACTCTAGTCTTCATAGGATCAATTTCTGAATCAACCCATTTTGCCCAAGTCATTAATGCTTTTCTATATGCATCCATGCGGTCCATATCTTTTGATGTCACCGTCCCATCCTGGATATAGTCCCATCTACAAAATTTTTGCACCACAAAATTCCATTAGTTAATTATAAATGATAAAATTTCGAACAATAATTTATAAAAATTTCATAGTGAAGTTATGAACTACTTCCTATATGTATAATGTATTATCTCCATTTAGAATTAATAGTCATGTCGCTAATTTAACTACATATATATTTTGTTGACAAGATCACTGATTTAAACGAAAAAAACTAGTTGATCATGTAGGGTTATTGTAAGTACAAACGTACGGTTGTTTAGGCCCCTTCCGACTCCACCAAAGCCACGTGTTGAAAATCAAAACATCCATATCCTTCCACATTTCGCCACCTTTAATTGAGTTAAGCTTCAATACTCTACCTTTTTGCTCGTTTTCAATGTCGACTAGGTATGAAGAAGGATATAGCATTACTGACATTATTATCCTACAATTAATAGAGAAATTGTTAGTAATGACAAGGCGGCTTTTCTAATTGTTGAAGAAATTGAGAAATAGCAATTAGGTCGTTCAAATTAGGTTGGAATCCATAGCCAATAATTCAAATCAAGTCATTGTTCGGGCTTCAAAATTGTACACGAGTCAAATTTAAGCTCCAGTTCGGTTGGTTCATGTCTACTTCTATTTCTAGTATATTTATTATGATACATTAATCACACTCATATTAGGCAATAGTTGTTGAATCGGGTCACAATTCAAGTTAATTCAAACTCACTATAGATTTGGAGTAGAGTTCATGTACTTTGGATAATTGGATTGCACATAAACAGCTTGTTGACATGAACAACTTTTTGTTCAACCTCATTATGAAGCCAAAATTTTGGCCAAGATCTAGAAGAATAAATGTCTAAAGAGGCCAATAATACTGTATGTGTTTCATAAGTTGGTTGCCTACTAGGCTCAACACATGATTTGACACCTAAGGGCTAAGGCTTTCAATATTGGACAAAATTGAAGTCACATAACAACCAAAGTCTAAAGCAATTGACATTGATTTATTTGTCACTTTCTTATTAATTTTTTCCCGTGATAACTTGTTATTGCCACTAGGCGGTGATAAACTGATAATATTCACATGCAATACTCTTCTCTAATCTTATTAAAGGGAGAACAAAATGACTTTGACTATAAATGTTCTCTAATCTTCTCTAATCTTCTTTTTTTCCTTAGGGTTAACTAAGAGTTAAATTAGTTGGGAATATCTGAAATTATTCATAATTCTTAGGGGATCAAATCAACCAAACACTTAAGCTAATAGTCGAAGTTCAGGATCGGTTTGTATAATCTATCAATAATACATGACAACACAAAAAATGGCCACATTACTATAAATATCTTTACAATTATATCCGCCTAATTTCTTTTTCTTTTTCTTTTTTTGTAAAAAAAAATGTTAACATAGTAGAGGCATGTTACGATCACACAATATCCTAAATGTTGCTCTCAATTTGAGTAGAATCTGATTTCTTATACTTGTACTGTAATAAGTAGAATCTGATTTCTTATACTTGTACTGTAATAAGTAACATCCTAATTATTTGTCATCAATTTTATTTGTAAAATCAATTTGAGAAAGTTCACTACCATAATATGTGATCAGGTGACAACATCCTCGTTTTGCCTCTTCATAATACTTAAATGACACTAAATGTATTAGTTTTAGTTTGATTATTTGTCAAAAAAAAATAGTGCATGTTAAAAGTTTACCTCAAAAATCCAAGATTTAATTCCACCAACAGTTTGTTGTTGTTTGATATTGGAGTTAGGAGTAGCAGCATGAAGTAGGCAAACTAGTGATTGCCAAATGTTAAGACTAAGTGAATCCCCAACATACATTATCTTCTTTCCACTCATTCTCTTTAGGAAATCCACTCCATCAAACCTGCATCAATAATAATCAACCATCATTCAACTCAAAAAATAAAAAATAAAAATAAAATAAATAAATTTGAATTACGAAGATACCGTAAAACTATGAGACAAATAAAAAAGTAATCGAGGGAATGTTGTACACTTGTTCTTACAATAACAAGGGACAATACGCATGTATGTTGGTGCGGCGTATATTATATAAACTTTGTTACCATTCTTGTAAAATGTCACTCCAATAGATTTATGTGATGTAAAGTTACAAACCTTACATCAATCATATTAATATATTATCCAAAAACAAAGCCAACAGATCTACCACACATCAAACTACTATCATCATTAGAATAAACTGTATTTTTATAATAGAAAAACAAAAACAAAAACAAATTCCTATAATATAATTATGTTACATTTAATTATATTTTCTAGTGTAATAGGCATTTTGTCATAGCAACTCATTGTTACCTCATAATGATATTAAAATTTTCGTAATTAAATAAAACTCCATTTTCATACGCGTATAATTTATTACTAATTTTCATTACCACTCAATATCATTTTTATAAATGGTCATTAATAATAAAATAGTAACATAAATTATGAAACCATACAACCTAAAAAAAAAAATCACATAATTCATATATATCTAAGATACATTGGAAAAAATTGACAAACCTGGGAAGATCACACTGTTCAGGCTGCCACCGGAACTTGAGATAAAACTTATCGGGGCGGCCATATTTCAGGCAATCGAACTCCTTTCGAATGCTCGGACATTGTAAGGAATCATACATAGGATAAGAAGGATCCCAAACCCAATTACCTTGGAAAATATTGCAGTTTTTTAGCTCTAGTTTTTTTTGCTTTATCAACTTGTTAACTATATGATCTTGACGTCGATGGATCGACGTTTGTAACACGACATTGGTTGTTGCATTTAGGCTAATGAATGAAGATATGGCTAACAATGTAACAATCGCAAAATGCAGAGTATTGCTCTGTTTTTTAGTTCCCATTTTTTAGAGAAAAAAAGGGTAGTAGAATAGTAGATACCTAAAGCAAGTGAATAGTAGATATCTAGTAAAAAGAAAGTGAGTGAAAAAAAGAAAAAAAAAAAAAAAAGTGGTAGAATTAGCACGCATGTAATGGTGGTGGCACAAATGAGTATGATTGTATGAAGCTTGTATCTATATAATACCTACCTAACTAAAGAAATACATACCTAAAGCAAAGCTGATTACATACAAGCTGCGAAACATAATAAGAAATCCCTAGCATGCTACTAATAATCAATCATCACGCATCATTAGTTTGTAGACTCGACACATGACTCAACTATTTACATCACTATGACTCCATTAATTAATAATAGGTAAATCATTATTTTTAGGGAAATTCTCAATGGTAACCTCCTACTATTGTTTATTCTCCATGGTAGCCAATTTTTTTTTTGAATTCTCAATGGTAGCACTCTACTTTTTAAAAGTTGCAACTGTAACCTTATTACCTCTAAACCGTTAAAGATCCGTTAACTTTAACTATTATCAAACATTTTATCTCTCTTAAACCTTAACTATTTTCTCTCTCCTCCCCTTCATTCCATGGCAGCCATCTCAAACCCCAAACCCTCCACCACAACACCCTCCACAGTCCACATACACCCACCCCTTCTATGTCCTACTTCCACCGCAATGCCACCCCTTCAAGTCAACTAAATCAGCCCAAAACAACAACATCAATACTTACACATAAACAACCACCATGTACAACTACAGCAGCCTACAATAACCACCATTTGCCACCTCTCTTGACTCCAATCCACAACAACGGCCACACAAATTGCGGCTTTCACACCAACACCACTATCATAGCCCCAACGCCGCACCTCAACTGCTTGAAATTCAACAAAAATGGAGGTCGATAAATCCTCAATTTCTTTTAATCACAATCATAAAAATTAACCCCAATTAAAACCCTAGAATTTGATGAAAATCATCTTCATTTTTTCTCGCACAGATTCAACGTTGGATTCAAATCAAGTTCCTGTGTATTTCTCTCTCCAATCCCCTATTTCGGCCACATTGACGCATATAATTCAAATTTAACGGCGACGACAATTGAGATGAAGAGGAAGATGAAATTGAAGCATGCAAAGAGGGGATAGGGGAAAGAGGAAGGCCGGGTGGGGTGTCGAACGACAGGGAGAAACACTGGTGGATTATTGGTGGAACCGTGGAGGGGGAATGAGAAAGTGGTTTGGAGGGAGGGGGAGGGTGGCTGGGCAGTGAAGGGGAAGGGGTGGGTATTATTATTTATTTACTTTTTATTAAAAAAAATTAACTTTTGTTTAAATTAAGTTAGATTCTTAAAATAAAAAATTAGATTTAACAGAAATTTAACGGAAAAATATCATTAAGGTTACGGTTGCAAGTTTTAAAAAGTAGAGTGCTACCATTGAGAATTCAAAAAAAAATTGGCTACCATTGAGAATAAGCAATAGTAGGAGGCTACCATTGAGAATTTCCCTTATTTTTATTCATTGGATTACGCAATAGACAAGGTTGTCCAACCCATGCTCCATTTGAAACATCAATAAAAGAAAAATCCCATGCCTCCTTTCGGAAACATCAATAAGCATCCAACGACTACGGACGCGACTCCGTGATCATAGTTAGTATGAGATCTCACCTAACTCCTAGTTTTAAAAATAAAATTTGAAATAAGAGATTCGTAGATCAGATGGCCTCTAGAAAAGTACACGGCTAATACCTCATGTACCCCAACCCCTGATTGTCATTACTCCAGATGTGCACCAATCCAGAGTTTTATTGCTCATCCATCTTGCACTTTACGTGATTTACAGGTTTAAACTTGATGATGACTCATATGCATAACAATAAAAACATTCCAAACACAATTCAATCAAACAAGGCAAGTTTCCAATTTCAATTATTGATTTATTAGTGACAAACAACATTTATTATTTATTCCTTTACTACCTCGGTGTATAAACACCTTGAGTGCATAAGGCACCCCAAAACCTTAACCTCGTCTTATAAGACTTGAATTCTTCCTTTACTCATCCTGTTTGCATAATCATGAATGAGTAATAATTAAATTAATCTTTACACCAATCACATACCTTTGCCTCTAAGCGCACCTTGCATAATTAGAGCACAAATAATACTTGCAATATAAAATAGTGCACATCATATGAAATTCACAATGTATAACCAAATAATTTAACCCAGTCATCCCTATACATGATACTAAGTTCTCGATCCGTCCTTAAACATGCACCTACAAGCAAGGTTTCGTAGCTTGTATGTACCTTGGGTAAACAATTCAGTTGGCCACTTTAAAACTAGAAGTTGCCTTCTACAAAGTCCTCTCCTAAACCAAACAATTACATAATCAATACCCAATCAATCAAATTTACAACAATACTAACTTACTTTAAAACCTTCATAATCCAAATCAAACAACACTTTAAAACCTTCCCTTTAGTAAAAAGGAAAAATGGAAATAAATAATCTCACCTTTGCCTGATCTAACAATAACAATCCCACCTTTTGATTATTACGAGGCAATCCCACCTTTGGGTGTCATCTTCTTTTAATAGGCTTTTTTACCTACAACCTATTAAACAGGTTAACATTTTTTTTAATTATTTTCAAAGCCACACTTGGCTTGATGATTGGACAAAATAATAAAAGTTAACAAAAAAAAAGGTAAAAAAAATAAAAATAAAAAAAAAGGTAAAAACCCACCGGCCACCCCCCAGCCACCGAGAAACCCTTACCCCGTACCCTAGGCCCACCTAAAAACGGCCGGATACCAGCCTAAACCCCCCAAAACGCCGACCAGAACCACCAAAAGTCATCCCCAAAATCACCCCTAACCCAAATTTAACTCCGACACCAGAACCACCACCCTGAAAACAATACCCAGCCGCCGAAAACCCCGGCCCTATGCCCACCGAATACCGTCAGCCCTGCCCCGATAAACCCCTACAACCGCCGAAAAAAACCAACAAAACACCCCATCCCAGCCCCGATTTACCCTTATTACCACCGAAAACCTCCATCCCATCCTCGATTAACCCCTACAACTGCCAAAAAACCACCGACAATCCCACTCAACCTCCCTAAATACCCCGAAAATCCCCATCTTAGCCACGAAAATCCCCATCTCAGCCCCTAAAAACACGTCACCTGGTGGGTAGGTGGGTGTCGGCCGGCGCTTTTCGGACGTTAAGGAGGGAGGTCGACCGATCTTTGGTGGTGGTTGGGGTAAGGATTTTACGGTGGCTTGTGGAGGGTTGATAGGTGGTGGGTCGTTTTTTTTTCTTCTGTATTTTAGTTTTTTTGTTGTTTTTTTTAAATATAATGAGCCAATTAAAATCTAACACGTGGCATATAACCTATAAAAATCGGTCACTAACCAGTCAAGGTCCATTAAAAGAAGATGACATACAAAGGTGGGATTGCCTCGTAATAATCAAAAGGTGGGATTGTTATTGTCAGATCAGGCAAAGGTGGGATTATTTATTTCCATTTTTCCTAGTAAAAATTAAAGGCTTATATATAGTTCTTTAAATTTTCTTCATAAAACCTTATAATACACTCTTATACATGAAATTACAGCAAGTTTAAAGTCTAATAAAAAATCTGAAAATTATTTTAAAACCCCTAATAATCTCCCTTTTTAATGGGTAATCACACCCTTTTATTAAAATCACAATTATACTACTTTAAATAAAATTCCAGCATTTTTAACCAATCAAAATCCTTTAAAACTTATAAACATCTTTATACTTAAATTATCCATAGAAACATTAAATTATCTCTTACCCTCTAAACTCAAGGATAAAATTTAAAGCATAAAAAAAAACTTTGTTAAAAATCAAAAACTGCCCGAAAATCATATTTAGAGGCTGAATTTGGCCACGAAGGGTGGTGCATTCTACCAAAGGTAATGATTCTATCTTAAAACGTTGTTTCCACATGGAAAACGCTACTTTTTTTTTATCAAAATCGGATGAATTCATAACCTGATCGGGATTAATATTAACGAACGGAAATCTAAAAATTAAAACATGTATATAATCTGAAATTATAACCTTTGACCATCAAAATATAGATTTGATACTAATTATATCAATTTCAAACAATTAAATCAAAAACCCAAAACAATACTTATATAATTATGCAAATAGAAATAGAAATAAGGGGAAAAGAAGGAGAGGAAGAAGGGGGAAAAGGTGGTTGCCGGCTGGGTGGTCGCCAGCGACCAGGCGACGGCGGCAGCAGGTGGGGACAGCAGTAAGTTAATTCTCACGTAGGAAGAGGAGGAAGAAAGAAGAAAAAGAAAAGAGAAAAAAGAAAAAAAATAAAATAAAAAAGATAGGAAGAATAAAGGAAAAGGAGAATAAAATAAAATAAAGGAGAATGAAAAATAAAACTAACCTTTTGTGTGGCAAAATTTTAGGGATTAATGGGGTATTTATAGAGGAGAATGTTGTAGGGTAAGTAGAAAGATTGAGCCTCATAAAATTAATGGGCCAAATGAATGAAATGGACTAAGCTTTAGTTGTATTGAAATAGATTATATAATGAAGGTTCATAAAATAATTTGTACCAAAATAATTTTCAATCCAATTTAATAATTTGAAACTTTTGAAATTAAATTCCGGAAAAATTCAAATAAATCTTATAAATAAAATAAATTTTCATTTATAAAATATTTAAAAATACGGGGGATTACATCCACTCTCCCTGTTGGAATCGATCTCCTTCCCTTCTCGCCACCGCAAAGCCTCATGACCAATCCCCATCTCATTGGCAAACGGCCGGTCGTCTCCTCTATCCCCCGAAAACGGTCGGCAAGCCACTCTTAACCCCAAAAACTACCCCTAACTAGCACACTCCAACCCCAAAAACCACCCACTCTCCCTCGAAAATAACCTCCCACCATCGCAAAACCCAAACCCGTTTCTCCAACACCACCCTCTCCCTGGTCGGAATTGCCCCCCCTCCCCTGACCCCCACCCCGATTCGAGCCCCCTCCTCTTCGCCTCCCAGAAATCTCCACCCTCGAACCTTAAATCCGACCCCTACCACCACCATAAACGAAACCCTTGAACCCACTTTGGTGGTTTTGAAAATTTGATTTAGGGTTTGGGGGTGGAGGTGTCGAGGGTGGAGGCAGGAGATAGGGGTTGTCGGGCGCCATTGTGTCACCGACGCCAGGAGGAGGGAGGGGGAGGATAGCCGGCGGCACAGGGAGGGGTGGCTGGCGGAAAGGGTAGTAGGGAGGTTGGGTTATTTCTTTATTAAAAAAATGTTTCTAAAAAAACTAACTAACTATGATTAAATATCTAGTTAAAATTAATAATTAATGTTATAGTGGACTTAATATAAAAAAATTAGGTTTACCATTGATAATAAAATTTAAAAACGTTTACCACTTAGAAAATTAAAATGTTGGATTTCACCAAAGAGAATTTGTTATTTTTTGTGTTGATTATAAATTGATATTTTGATATATATGTTCATTTATAAATTATAAGTTCAAATATTGTGTGGTTTTAGTTTATATAATTTGTTATTATTGTCCAAAAATTGATAATGTTATTTTTTTATATTATAAAATGATATGTTGATATGTTCATTTATAATTTATAAGTTCATATGTTTTGTGGTTATAATTCATATTATTCGTGATTACTGTTCAAAAATTGATATTGTTATTTTTTTGTTGATTATAAAATGATATTGTGATCTGTTTTATTTCATTTATAAATTATAAGTTCAAATATTTTGTGGTTTTAGTTCATTTAATTCGTGATAACTGTTCAAAAAATGATATTTTTATTTCTTTTATTATAAAATGATATTGTGATATGTTCATTGATAAATTATAAGTTCAAATATTTTGTGATTTTAGTTCATATAATTCGTGATTACTGTTCAAAAATTGATATTGTTATTTTTTTTATCATAAAATTATATTGTGATATGTTCATCTATAAATTATAAGTTCAAATATTTTGTAGTTTTAGTTCATATAATTCGTGATTACTATTCAAAAATTGATATTGTTATTTTTTTTTGTTGATTATAAAATAATATTGTGATATGTTCATTTATAAATTATAATTTAAAATATTTTGTGGTTTTAGCTCATATAATTCGTGATAATTGTTCAAAAATATTTTAGTTCACATTTAAGCACATGGACACATACACAGCAGACTTTGGACAAAAGTGGATTTGTGATTTGAAGGCTAATGGTGTAAGAATTCAAAATAAAACATTCTTTTGGTTAATATGTTCATATATAAACATTAATTGTTCATATTATTATGTCACTTGTTCATATTATTGATTTCAGGTTGATCAAATAAGGATGCTAAGAGTAAGATATTGTGCTGAAATTAAACTTAGTGAACCCAACAGGGAAGGGAACAGAGTGAGAATGACTACCAAGAGAAAGCAAGAAGAGGCAAGTTGAAATTTGGATTGAGAACTAAGAAGCTGGCATTCTGAACCGATACAAGTGTACTTTAGTTTTATATATAAGTGGTTATTTGGAACATGAAATTTTTTTCGATTATAAACATGTGATTTTCATAATTTAGTATTTATTCATCTTTCCTGTCTACTATATTCATTTATTGTTAAATACAGTTCATCATAGTCGTAAATAATAAAATATATATATTTTTATATATATGAATACAAAGTATTGTTTTATACATATTTAAATGTAAA